CATTAATAGTTGAAGCAAGTAAAACTGAAGTTGAAACTTTGACAAATGGTTGAATAAAAAAATTTATTGTTGTTTAGGTTTTTAGGAGGCATAGAAAAAAATTATAAAAAATAAAGATAGTCATCAAGCATTTTTTTAATTTGATAGATGTTAGTATTGATAGTGAGTGTTACTATGATTATTATTTAATTAATTGATTGTGATGCCCTTAATCAAAAATTAGCTAAAAAAATCATTCAGCAAATTTATTCAGGAATTATGAAATCAGCTGTTAAGTGTAATCATATAGGCGGAAATCTTTAATTTTGTGATCAGTTTGTGATTATTTAAGTTGAAAAATAAGATTAAATAGAATTTGAGCCAATAATATGTATAATATAATGTGATTACCAATATTAAATGTAATTATTTGTCGGTGATTGTAAAATTGCTTATTAATTGCTTATTAGTTATTTATCAGTTACTTATTAGTTTTTATGAGCGGTATACTGAACAGATTAGCTAAAAATAACCCAAAATGATCCAAAACTGATTTGTTACTTATCAGTTTTTATGAGCGGTATACCAAACAGATTAGCTAAAAATAACCAAAATGATCCAAAACTGATCTGTTACTTATTAGTTTTTATGAGCAGTATACCAAACAGATCAGCTAAAAATAACCAAAATGATCCAAGACTAATCTATTACTTATCAGTTTTTATGAGTGGTATACCAAACAGATTAGCTAAAAATAACCAAAATGATCCAAGACTAATTCATTACTTATCAGTTTTTATGAGCGGTATACCAAACAGATTAGCTAAAAATAACCAAAATGATCCAAGACTGATCTGTTACTTATTAGTTTTATAAACAACGTTCAGCTAAAATAATCCAGAATGATTCATTACTTATCAGTTTTTATGAGCAATATACCAAACATATCAGCTAAAAATAATCTAGAATGATCCAAAACTGATCCATTATTTATTAGTATTTATGAGCGGTATACCAAACAGGTTAGCTAAAATAACCCAAATTGATCCAAAATTGATCTGTTATTTATCAGTTTTTATGAGTATACTATATTCATATAATAACTAAATAACTAAATCATTTTTAGATCATTGAGTATTTAGAGTGTTAGCTAAGAATTTTTTATACATTCCTGATCAAGTCATTTTGCCGTAAAATTATAGTTTTAAAAACAATATGAATATAATAAAACTTAAAGACACCTATCCAAAGATTGATACAATACTTTATATTGGTAACCGTAATTATAGTTACCAGTATAATGTTTTAAAACTAGGATATTATCCAACAACAAATATACAACAGATACAAAGAAGCAAATATCGAATTTCTAATAAATATAAGGTTCATGTTTTATTCTATAAACAAAACATAATATGTCAAACAAACTATTAAATTGATGGAAAAGTAAAGTTTAAAGTAACTTGGAAAGATAAAACTGGAAATAAACAAAAGTAATTAGTACAAAATCTTTGACAGATGCTGCGCGACAATTTATACAGGTAAAAATTTTTAACTTAACAATAATAACTATATACAGTTATTGTTATATATATAATAAATTATTTAATTTTTTTTAAATAGAAATTAATGCAAAATAAAGCAAATAATTTATCAGGTGTGATATTATTTGGTTTGGATTTACAATGCCTTAAATCATGTCAAAAAAATGAGTATTATAAAAGAATCTTTTTATATCTCAAACCTGAAACACAACAAAATTTTCGTTTAAGAGAATTTGTTTCAGATCTTTATTTTTATGCTAAAACATTGTTTGAAAAGTATAATTTTACTGATATGACTTTAGATTGTTTAGAATTAAATATTTCTAACAAATTAGTTAAACTCAAATTTACTGAATCTAATGACGAGTTAGTATCTCTTACTCATCGTGATACTAGTATTTATGTATATGATAAGAGGTTAATTTCTAGAAATAGTTATAGATATTTGGCAACTATTCAACCTTCATTAGAATGTGAGCATATTATAGCTACATGATAAAAAGAAATTAATGAAACTATGAAAAAAATTCCAATTAAGAATTTTAATATCAATTCTATAACTGAATTTTCAACAATTTATTCTGCTATAGAAGAAAGTGAAGATATATTATTTATCAATAAAACTCAAATAGGAAATAGTGCAGTATGATCTTTAACTGCATTATTAGTTACATTAATTCCTGCTTTAACAACAGGAAATAATTCAATTTTAAATCAAGGTGATATCATTAAAATTAAACTAAGTGGAGATGGATGACAAGTAGGCCGTTATAATAATCATATAATACTAACAACATATATTTTAAATGAAAAATATAAAGTTTTAAGTCCAGATAATCAGCATTAGTAAGTTTATACTTTTTTAAATATATATATATATTTATCAAAATCTAAAAAATATTAATATATAGCATTTGTTTTTATCTAGGAACTGAGAAATATAATTCATTATCAATCGCACATCAGCAAATTATTGATGAGTTAATTGTTTTATGTCAAGTAGGTCTTGTAAATAATAATATTTATTGGAAAATTGAATTCTGGTTTTTAGCAGATTGGAAATATATGTCATTAGTTTTGGGTATAAATAGATCTACTTCAAATTATTTTTGTTTATAGTGTGATTGTCACAAAAATGAGCGATGAGATGTAAATCAAACATGGTTAAATACAGAAAATTCTAAAGGCATCATTATTATATTAATTTATTATAATAATATTATTATTAAAGTTATATTTGCTTAAAATTAGATTTATTTTTTTTTTTTAATATTTGGGGTGTAGCTCCTGCCCCAGACTTTTATTAATACTTAAGTAAATTGACATATG